TTCTATGACTAATATGTGTTCTATTCTCCAGAACAAATAAATGTATGATTGAATATCTTGCACTGAAAAAAGTCCACAATTATGGACATCAAAATGGTAATACGAGTTACTCCAACATTAGCAGTTTCAGTGATCTTTTTACTTAGCTTTTTCTTTGGTTGGTTAGGCTTTTTTTTTTTTTTTTTTTTTGAGACAGAGTTATTACTATGAATCCCACATTGGCCTGGAACTTGATATCCTCCTGCAACAAACTCCCAAATGCTGGGATTAAAGACATGCACACCATGATGCTCAGCTTTCACTGGACTTTTTTGTAGTGCTCTGTATTATTTTGATTTTTATTTCTTTATTTTTATTTTATGTGAATAAATGTTTTGCCTGCATGTGGGTAAGTGCACCATGTGGTACAATGCACTCCAAAGTCAGAAAATAGTATTGAATCCCATGAACTTGAGTTATGAATGTTTACTAGCCACCATGTGGGTCCTGGGAACCTAAAAGCAGCCAATGCTTTTCTTAACCACTAGTGATCTCTCCAGCCCCTTGTTTTTATTTAAATGAGCTAATTTTTAAAGAATTGAATAAGTGAAAGCTATTTGCATGAGGGAAGGTGAAAAGTGCCTTCATAATCACTAAAAACAAATTTTCTACATTATACAAATTCTAACTTTAAAACGTCAATTGTAGAAGCAGTAGCAGATACTTTCAAAGGCACAACTTTTTTTATACAGGGACTGCCATCCTTATAGACAAAAGAGCCAAAAGAAAATGTGATTGTGTAGTATTACATAGCTAAAATTAAACTGACAATAATAGTCTTTTTAAAATACTATTTTTCCAAAAAATAAACGAAATTTAATTTTGTCCATATAGTCTCATACTAGTGATAATGATCAAACATTACACAGTCTATTTAACTCATTTTCTGTATCTTCAACAATATTCTCCACTAGAGAAGACATCTAAATAATCCTGTTTAGACTCAACGATAGTTGGATTGGGGGAGGCAGGGGTTTGTTGTTTGTTTTCTGTTTTAAGATAGGGTCTCCCTATGTAGCCCTCCCTGGCTGCCTTCCAATCAGCTACAATCCTTCTGCTTCCTCCTCCCCAATGTTGGGATTATAGGCATGTATCACCATGCTCTACTAGATTCTTTTTCCTTTTTATTTTTTCTTATATGAATGAGTGCTTTGTCTGCATTATATAGGTGCACCATGTGTATAGTGCCCACGGAGGCTAGAAGAGGGCATTGGATCCCCTAAAACTGGAGATATGGATGGTTATTAGCTGCCATGTGGGTGCTGGGAACTGAACTGGGTTCCTCTGGAAAAGCAGCCAGTGCATTTCTCCAGATCTAGATGTATCTTTCAAAGAGTATTAATAAGAACAGGTAAAGAACAAAATTCAACAAATAAAAATATATTTGATTCCAAATGAGACAGAATTACTTACTAACAATGACTGCAATGTTAATTTTTAAGACATCATACACATAAAATAAATTACTTACCCCATCCAGAAGAGTATTTGATAAATGCATACGGAAATCTTTACGAAATGGAAATTCCAGATTTGAAACATGAAACACTGAATTATCTCTATCAATCATAAAAACTTCATTTGTGCCATCTATCAGCATCATGTAACTGTAAATGAAACATTAAAAACATAGTATTAACATAGGATATCAAGAACAGAGTCATTAGAACAGTTGAGATGGTTTTCCAAGAATGATTACTAAAGTCCCCCTCTTTATCAGAAAACATAAAACATAGGGAAGCCTAAGACTTTTATGAAGACAATGTGATGTCTGCAGAAAGGAGTACACTTATGACATATGTTATCAGGTAATAGATCTATAATTTTGATTAGATATCAAACTTTACAAACACACAAATAAACTTTAATACTGTGTTTTTGGTTCATTAGCTATATGAATTAAACAGCAAAGTTAAAAAAACACTGAGCTCAAATTATCTATGTTCTTTCTACTACACCAGTTATAAAACAACTAATTATTTTCTTTAAATCAATGTTGTGATACAGCCAAGACATCAGGTCAGTTAAAATTTTTCCTTTTCATTCATAATTTTGAAATTATATTTTGAAATACAGTCACAAGAATTTTCATTGGTCTTTATCTTCTAATTGATCAATATATAGGGAAATTTATGTGTTTGACCAATCTCAGTCATTCTTCAGAAGTTGCCATTTAAGGTATCTGTAGGTCATCAAGAATGAAACTCTAAATCAAGCATGGTAATTGATGGTGGGCCATGCTTATAATCCCAGAACTCAGGAGGATTAGACAGTAGGAATGCTGGAGTTCAAGTCCAGCCTGAGCCAGAGTGAAACCCTGTCTCAAAGATAAAGAGGGGAGGGGGCCTGGGACAATAATTCAGTTATTAAAGTACTAGCTATGTAAGCATGGAGACCAGAATTTGATCCCCAGTACCCACACTAAAAAAAAACAAAACAAACAAAAAGCACCCCAATACAAACACACATAAAAAAGAAGAGCTCAAATCCCACATTGTATAAAACTAAAGTCCAGAAAAGCAGAGGCAGGAAGATCAAGAGTTCAAGGCTTTAAAAAATAAAATGAAGGGGGGAGGGGATGGGGGGAAATAAATAAAATGAAAAAAAAAATAAAAAGCTAGTCAGAGCTATATGGCAAGATCCTATAAAAAAAAAAAAAAAAGTAAAGTCCAGCCAAGCATAATGGTGCATTCCTATAACCTCAGGACTCTGAAAGCTAAAACAGATGGACTGCAAGTTGGAGACCAACCAGGCCTATACAGCAAGACTTCCATCTCAAAATAAAATAAAGTTCACATGGGTTCACATGGAGGAAAATACAGACTGAGATGCTATGCCACCAAAAGCAGATCTGAGGTCAAAGAATGAAAATATTGACAGCAAAAGGTATTAAAAGGTTAAAGGGCATGAGGCCCAAAGAAACAGTATCATTTGATTAAGCTGTTTGTGCTTAGTATCAGAAAGAAAGAGTCGCAACTGGGAATGTAGCTTCCTTAGCATGCATGAAGCCCTGGGTTTACTCTCTAGCACCATGAAACAAACAGGAAATGGTGGCACATAGATGGAAGTAGGAGGGTCAGAAGTTCAAGGTCATCCTTGGCTACACAGTGAACTGGAGGAGAGAGGGAAGTGGAAGAACATTTAGGATGCAGCACTGAAAATCTGATATAACAATGATCCATCCAACCTCCTACCTACAAAGCATATATTATATCAGTAATAAGCAAAATACTGAGCTGATGAAGCAAATTAAAATCAGGGGCAGAAGAAACATTAGTTAAGAGATGGAAGCTAATAGAGTATATGTAACCTAATATAACAGAGGATAAGAAACAAGTATTTCAAAAAAAGGATTGGTGTTTAGGGTAGGTAAGGAGAAATGTGAATGCTGATAAAGGTAAAAGAGCATAACAAGGAAAGAAGAAAAAATATCAAAAGGGCTTAGATCTGAAGGCTAGCATGGTGTCCCTTCCTTCCTGTTCCTAAAATAAACAGTTCCAGCTAGCCTTGGACAGGAGATGGATTGTTCAGGCCCTTGTTTCATATGGAAATAGACGCAGTCCTAACAGAGGAAAAAGGTGGAATCTCAGGTTTCACCAAGAAAACTTCAACCAATCTGGGGCTGAAGAGATGGCTCAGAGGTTAAGAGCACTGGCTATTCTTGCAAAGGACCCGGGTTCAATTCCCAGCACCCACATGGCAGCTAACAACTGCCTGGAACTCCAGTTCCAGGGGTTCCAACGCTCTCTACTGACCTCCACATGGACTGTAGGACATGGGTGCATTCACACACATGCAGGCAGGCAACAACACACTCATATACATAAAATTTAAAAAAATTTTTTTTTTTTTTGGTCTTTTTGAGACAGGGTCTCCCTGTAGTCCCAGCTGTCCTGGAACTCACTATGTAGACCAGACTGGCCTTGAACTCACAAAGATCTGCCTGCCTCCCAAGTGCTGGGATTAAAGGCATGCACCACCACACCCGGCTAATAAAGCATTTTTTTAAGTATAGAAAAACAAAGAAAAATTCAATCAGCCTCGTTCTGGAAAGAGAAACTGCTGGGCCAAATACTAACCAAGGAATGCTTACTTCACAAAACCTCCCTCATATAGGCTTCTTAAAAATGCTCTGATTTACTTATTTTTATTTTATGTGTATGAGTGTTTTGCCTGTATGTATGTATAAATGCAGCTATCACTGAGCCATCTCTCCAACCCCTGTGTATGTTTAAAATCAGCAATTTCTGATGTACCCATATGAGTACATTCTGGTTTCCCACTTCCCTAGGAGAAATGAGGCTTCATGCAAGAAAGAAGCAATGCTCTGGACTGTGTTCCAAAAGGAACATAAGGAAATGCCAACTAAAGCAATTATGATATTGCCTACAGAAATGGTATAAAAGAGCTGGGTGTGGTGGTGCATGTGCTGACGCACATTAATCCCAGCAGTCAGGAAGCAGAGACAGGCAGGTCTCTGTGAGATCAAGACCAGTCTGGTCTACAAGGACCTGGGTTTGATTCCCAGCACCCACATGGCAGCTAACCATCCATAATTCCAGTTCCAGGGGAATCCAACGCCCTCTTCTGATCCTTACAGGTATTGCATGACATGGGTGCACTTACACATACACAGGCAAAATATTCATACACATAAAATAAAAATATTTTTAAAAAAGAATGTAGACGGGCCAGAGAGATGGCTCACTGGCTGTTCTTGCAGAAGATCTGAGTTTGAATCCCAGCACCCACATGGCAGCTAACAACTGTCCATAACTCCAGTTCCAGGGGATCCAACACCCTCTTCTGTACTCCATGGGCATTGCATGACACAGGTGACTTACATACATGCAGGCAATGCACGCACATACATAAAAAATATGTTTAGACACAAAATTTAACTGAATCACACCTGTCTCCCCAGTTTTATTTCTACAGAGATGCAGCCCAGAATGGACTCAGGTTCAAGATTCCCCACTGCACAGTACTCAGAAGCCTCCTGACCCAGGGTTGGGAATATAGACGTGTGCACCCACATCCAGATTTGGAACACTACATAAAAGTACATACATAATCTTTATAGGTTACAGGAAAACCAAATTGGTAGATTGCTTTACTACAAATGCAAGCTTTCTGGCTGAACTACAAACAATCAGTTTTAATCTTTCTAATCATTGAGATTATATAGTAAGTAAAATCCCAAAAATATATATATATAGTAATAAAATTTAGGATGTACATACCAAAAAAAATAAGCAATGTTGGTAATAGCACCTTAGAGTCTTAATTCACATTCCTACCAGTACTTGAATGGAAAAATGACCCTGAAGATCTAATTATAACCTACTCACACCCAACTCTGATAAGAAATTACATTTCAAAAAATTAAGCTCTAAAAGCAGAGATCATATCTACTGTGCTTTCACAAAAAAGGTGCCTTGTACAGAAAGAGAAAGCAAAAAGGGCATGGTATGAGGCTGGAGATGTGGTCAGGGATATAATAATTAGAAACTTTGTCCTAAAAATGGAAAATTATTTGTATAAGACAAACAGAAGCCATAACAGAATTGAAACAGGCAATTTAATAATATAGGAAATTGTTTACACAGTTAATAGAAGGTTGAAAAGGCAAACCAAGAAGAGTGAACTCAGAGATGAATCACTGTAGAAGTGCTACCACCTGCAGGACTAGGGGACCAGTATGGAAGAGTGCATGATCAGAGGCTTGGGGCTTACAGGAAAAGTATTCAGTGGGTGGTTGTGTAGGAAGTGGAGAGGTCTACTCTTGCTAGGTGCTTAAATCTCAAGGTAGTAGCAACCATATCATTGATACCTGGACCTCCAAGAGGAACCTACAGATCAAGTCTGAATCTCTGAAAGCAACAGGGTAGAAGATATTCAAGAACTAAGGGAACTCAGTCCTGTGGCACAGCAGGTGAGACAAGTGTCACTCTATCTACCTAGGATTCCCCACTCAGAAGCTAGAGTCTCTGAGAAGGAGAACAAGTGTAGTGCTGGGGTTGTCAAAAGAAGTTAAAGAATGGAGTACTGGATGCCCTTTGCTACTGGAGATGGGCTTACAGAAAGTGGAAACCAGAAATAAAGAGATAGTTCTGTAGGTAAGGGTGCCTGTCACCAAGCGTGACAACCTGAGTTCAACTCTTGGGATCTACATGGTGGAAGAACCAACTCCTGAAAGTTGTCCTCTGACCTGAACATGTCGGCTCACACACATATACACACAAAACTATAAATAAGAAACAAATAACCAAACGTTAATTTTTTCCTTAAACAAAAAAGAAAGAAAATGGGGACTGGAGAGATGGTTCAGTGGTTAAAAGCAATGGCTGCGCCTGCAGAGGACCCAGGTTTGGTTCCCAGCACCCACACTGGCAGCTAACAGCTATAGGTAACTCCAGTTCCAAGGAAATCCAAAACCCTCTTCTAATCTCTGCGAGCATTGCACAACATGGGTGCACTTTAAAAAAGAAAATGGAAACCAGAAGTCACCTCTCCACCTTTCAAATTCCTGCCAGAGCCAACAAACAATAAAAGCCAACAAGAAGAGAGTAGTGTTTGCAGGAGCCCAGGCCCTGCACACAGTTCA